ATACCACAGCTGTGATATGAGGGGTGGGGGTATAGTTTGTCACAGCGGGGCTATAGGGGGTGTGTCTAGCTAGCTCCAGGATAGTGGTGATGTGGATACCACAGCTGTGATATGAGGGGTGGGGGTATAGTTAGTCACAGCGGGGTTATAGGGGGTGTGTCTAGCTAGCTCAAGGATAGTGTTGATGTGGATATCACATCTTTGATAGGCAGAGGATATAGTTAGCCAAGCAGTGTTATATGGATGTGGCCAAACACAGCACATGTACATGGGTGTTGCTTGCTGTAGCAGGGATGGGGAGATAAGGCAGAGGATGTTGGGAGACTAACAACAACAAAGTTAGGTGTGTGACTAGCCACAGTATGGATACGGAGTGACGTATCTAGGACCACAGCATAGATGTAGCGAGTAAAGTTTATAGAAAAGCTTATAGTAAAATAAAAAATCTTATAGTAAAATGAAAAATCTTATGGTCAAATGATCAAGTTTATAGTAAAGCTTATTAGATGTAGTCATTAAAGTAGGAATACTTTGGTGTTGCTCCACCACAGCACCGGGTCGTCATCGGCGATGACGGCGAGGTAGGAAGTAGTGCCGACCTCGGCATAATGTTACCCCACCGCTCTCTCTCTTGCAGGGGAGGAATGGTGCAAACAAATGAACAGTACGAGTTCGTGCACCGCTCCCTCGCCCTCTACGAGCGTCTCCTCCCCGAAGCGCCACCGTGAGGCGCCACCGGTCGTCGACGAGACCGACGCTCCACTGCGATCAAGCCTCATCCACATGCGGGCGAACACGGGGAGCTAGCGCCCACCATTGCGTGCTCAACTGTGCCACCGGGGTGCTGCCATCTGGTGTCGAACTGTGCCCTCGGACGGCGGAGAGTGTTAGCCGATGACTGTTCTGTGTTGGATTCTGTTCGTATTGCTCAGTTTTTTGATAGACGGGGAAGAAAAGCCGGCGAGGGAATATTTTTTGTATCGTTGTCGCGAGTGAAAAGTGAGCGAGTGTTGTGTGGATTTGCGATCTCGAAGACGAGGAAAATGGCGACATTGAACGGTCGCGCGACGAGTTTCGTCCCACAGGTGGAGCTCCAAGCGCGGGAGGCGACGAATACCGTTGCGGGAAGCGGAAACAAGAGCTGCGTTGGCATGGTAACAGCGCAGGAGGCTGGATCGCACTTGACTGTTAGTTTTTCGCAGCGTGTGAATGGGGAAGCTGGGAGTTAAATCTTCCCGGCCCTAGCCGCGGGCACGCGGTAGTGACGTGGCGCCCCCTGGCTGAGCCGTCGTCTACGGAAGAACAGTTTGCACATTGCACTCTAGTCGTAGCACTGCAGTGTCGCCACCTAGCCGGCACGATTTGTACGTAACTTTGCCGTTGGCGTCGCCAGAGCGCCGGGGCTGGCTCTGGGAGCGAGTCTCCCTCGTGCACCACGCTGCTCTCTCGTTTTCCCAGCATGCACTCGGGAGGGATCCATTTGGTGGGTGAAGATCGTCGTCCGATTGTCGTCTTGTTGTCATGACGATGGTGTTCGGTTTGTTTTATAATGCGCGTGTCGTTCGATCGGTGTGCGTGTGTGCGTGTGTGCGTGTGTGCGTGCAATTCGTGGTTTGATAAAGCAGACGGGGGGGGGGGGGAAAGGGGGGGGGGGGGGGGGGGAACGGTGGGTGGAGTGGCAGCACGAGGCGACTGTTGGCTATGAAGGTCGTACAAAGGTCGTTGCACGTCTCTATCGTTAATACGTCTTCACTGAGCGCCATCTTTGTTACACAGATGGCGTGCGTGTAACCGCGCGGTTTAATATGTTCATAGTTTTGTAGGAAAACACGTCATTGCTGTGTTACAGTGTATGGGAATCTGTGATCTCTTCGTTGACTGTGTGATTGTGTGTTATACACCCCCCACCCCACATCCCCTGTACATCTACCTTGTTTTATCGTTCTCTCGTGAGAGGTATCACGCGTTTTTGGGGTAACTTTTTGGGTAACTTGCTCTATCGATGTCAGACAGGTTACGAAGTGCGTACATACAGACATTTCTACTGCAAGATTATCACTTTGTACCAGTCAGCGTGAATATGGCTCGATGTGTGCAGGTTTGCGCCACCTGGTGACGTTTGTATGTACTTCGCTTGTTGTCTCTCATCAGTGGAGTGAACCATAGAAATCACAGCCTAATATAGTTTATTGGGCTGCGATTTCTATGGAGTGAACAGTGTGTGTGGTGGGGGAAATTATAGTTCTATTGTTGTCTCGATGGATTGTATCAGTGCTAGTCTGCACTACTCGTTGACCCTACTTTAATCTCTCGTACGTTAGTAGTGTGTAATTTTCCTGAGGATAGTCAAGTCATCTGTGTTATGGCCTATAGTGAATAGTCTCCCATCACACTAGTTTTATATGTTCACTTCATCGTAGGTGAGGATTCGCACGGCTACGATTTGAACCAGGTTATTTTATAGAGCACCAGTCTTGTCAAAACCACGTCGAGGTCTTAAATTATACTAAGTCTGCATCCAGTAAGAGAATCTATTCGTCCTATAGCATCTGGACGCAAGTTTTAGGGTTTAGAAAAAAAGCTTCGTAGAAATGCCACCAGGGCGTGCGCGCAAGTGTTACCGACTCTGGAACGACAGCGCTGGAGATTGCCGATCTCAGCTTTATTGTTTTTTATTTGTGAAATCTCGGCAGCGACCCTAGAATCTCGGACGACACATGGACGATTGATTGTTGATTCTCGTTGCGTGGATGCTGCGCTTGCTTTTCCCCAGCTTCCGCCGATCGTAGATGTCCAGGTTGACGCTGTAGCAACTGTTGCTGCAGCAGCAGTGAGATAGATGTTATACAAGTTTTTTATGACGTGACGTGATGCAGTCAGTTTTATGTATTATGAGTTTTATGTATTATGAGTTTTATGTTCTATAAACTGCTGGTCGTTTTAAACTTGATCACGATTTGTAAATTGTCAAAATCTAAATAAAAGTTTTTGGGGTTCGTTAGTGATAATACGGTGTGTTACGCGTGAAATTTCATACGTGTCTTTGTTATCGTGATGCTCCTTATCAAAATCGCTAAACCAATTAACGTTTTAATGACTATCATTGGGCAACTCAATCAATTATTAGCCATATAACCTATGCATCAGCACGTTGAACATTTTCCGTACTACATATAGGACGGATGTATATATATATATATATATATATAATCCAGTAGATGTTCCGGAATGCATCAATCCCCCAAAAATTCTCTTCAGCTTTAATCAACATTCTCAACCAATGAAGCGCCCCTTCCCTTTCTGCGCAGAATAAAGGTTAAATTTTCAAGGTCGCCAATATAATCCGTTAGAGTTGCAGCTACATCCAAGCTCGTATCAACAGGGATAAACATCCCTGTAGCCAATTAATTTACCAATTAATACGTCCCAAATTCAGTGAAATGGCTACAGCGGCCGAGCCCATTGTCAAAAAAACGCCGTAAAGTCTAGCCTAAAATTAAGATTAACTTCTTTTTAAAACGAGACACATGTGTTCACCGTCGTCGCCGCGGCAAATCGTCACGAATCGCATATAAATCTACAAATACTTCGATCAACTGTCGTATATGCGTATATACAATATGCAATTTTAAAATAATACTTTTATACATAATATAATAATAACCTAAATAAATACCCACACACACCACTACCAACGCACAACCGCACACTCGCACATTGTGCGCACACACACACACCGCACCGAACACCACACAATCAACAAGCACCACCCAACGCTACACCCTTTGCCGCCACGCCCACCCACGCGTCCTTACTACCACGCTCTCCGATGTATCGTCCACCACCACAGAACCAGCACCTCAAAACTATTGCAAAAAACTTGCAGTAAATGGCCGGTATTTCACTAACCTTTTACTCCTCGAGATGCAACAAAATTAATTTACGCCTATAATCACGCGCACTGTAGCGTGACATGCGACGTAACCGACGCTTCGCGCGCGCCGTGAGTGCGTGGTATGTGCCTTTATGCTCAGATGACTGAAAAAAGCGATATTATGCCCCCCAACCACCTAAAATCATTTTATGCTTTTGAGGTAAAACGCTCCAGCATCAAAAAAGAACCTTCTTGCTATCACATAACTTTCACCG